ACACACACACACACACACACATATATATATATATATATATATATATATATATATACACACACACATTTATATATATTACAATGCAACTTAAATTCTTAATTTCTATATTTGAAATTTTTTGAATCTATATTTCTGTACTACAGAGAGTCATAGGAATGGTCACATTCTTGGCAAACAAATTTTAAGACTATTTTTAATGTGTTATTGAATGCAAGAATATAAGTTTTTCTTGTATTAAAGTGAGCTGTTTTGTCGTTTTGATATTGTTGGATGTTTGTGGCCATGCTCAAAAATTTGTTTCATTGTTCTAAATGAAGAAAACAATAATTAAAATGTCAAATTCTGTATTCTCCCCATGCTCTCCCTGAGCAGGGACAGAGGGAAGGACCGTATTTCCCACAGGTACCCGAATTTTAACAATATCCCTTAAATTTTTCTTACAAGATGAGGATGAAAAACACACACACTGGGAAATGTTTCAGAATGTATTGGCTTTGGAAGAAAATAAAATGGAATTTAGTCTTCTAAAAACAAGAGTGTTTACTTACCATATTTGTTCAAAAGCATCATTTACTCCAAAAGTCTCTTGATGCTGTCAAAATTGATAAGGTAGTCGGTTATTGAATGAGAGTGAATGGGTTTGGTTAACTGCATATGTCACAAGGTGTGCTGAATATCCTGAATGGCTTAGCATGTAATAATGTCTAGCTGAAGGCAAAAATTTGATGGGCAGTTTCTACTGTGGCGATGAAGTGTCAATTACAGTTGAACCAATCTTGGTTGTACAAAGATTAGTTTGGGCCTTTCATTTGAACAATCAACATAGATTTCAAAATACATGCTAGGAACTTGCCCCTTGCAGCAGGACCGCTTCTTGCTGGGTCTGCATCACAGCTGGATCACAAAACATGCATGCTACTCCCATTTAAAGCAAAACAATGAGGGGAAGATATACATTGGGGAAAATCTTCATATTGCAAGAAGGATTGAATGAAATATACTTGAAAACAGAAATCCATTAAGAGTTTGGATTAAAAAAATAACACTTCAACAGGTATAATTGCAATAGGCAGGAGGAGATGGGAAGGACAAGATTTTAAATCTATGAATGTAAAAAAAATGAAGTGGTTGCCCACATATTCATTTGAAATAAAGAATAATACTTAGCAGCACAGAGATTTCATGCTTCTCAGTCTTACATTATTTTGTCACGCATTGTTCTTTTAGTTTCTGAGATTTATTCCATGCATTTATACTTTGTCGAAAAGAATATGGCATAGCTTTTGTTCATTCATTTACCTTTTCTTATATTTGTTTTTGTGTTGGTGGTGGTATTGAACATGACTTTGATAATAAAAGAGATGTGTCCATCACTTCTATGTAAAACTTTTTTTTTATTGTAATATTTGTGGATTTGGTTAATAAGGAGCTTCTTGGTTTTCATTTAGAATGTGTGTTTTCATTGTTTTTCTTTTGCGTTTCTTTTGCTTGTGCATTTTGGAAGATGATACTTATATTGACAAATTGTCCATGTTTACAAGGCACTGTGAAACACCTGCAGGTACCGTACAAGCGGAGTTGTGTGTTTTGTTTTGTTTTAAATCCAAGCCATTGTCATCTAAATGCTTTCTTCACTACCACTCTCACTGCTATGAGAGTCAAATGCATTAAATGCATAGCTGATAGGAACTCATATTGCACATAAAAAATGCAATCTTCTGAATGTCGACTGAGTTTCTGAGTGGCACCATAATGTTTGATACTTTGATACAGGAATAACAAAACTTATTAAGGACTATTATGCACAATTATATATGTTCTTCTTCCAAACCTGACACAGAAACACATCCATGCATACATACATGCATGCCTATATGGATACACATATTGTTTCCAGGAATTTCAGAATTAGGTGTGATTAACTTCAGTAATAGAAGATCATCGTATAATTCCAATTGTTAGTCATATGTTGCCTGAATCCTTAAGTAATGAAAGTCAAAGAAACTGCTGATTGCTGACAAGTAATGTTAAAAGCTTCTTCGTTTGAAATTTTAATAAAGTAAAAAGGATGGATTAAAACCCTGCACTTAACCACAATTACAGAAATTATGTCTACCAGTTTATTAATCTCAGTTAAGCATTGCTACTTGGATATATTCTGAGTCAGATACTAATGTCCCCTTGGGAAGGCCATCAATTTTGAAGATCCATAATATCAGATTTACAGTGTATGTTACTTTTATGAATAGTGCATGTGGCTTCTTTAGGCCTCCCCTTGATTCATGATTGTTTTAAGACATAAATGTAGCATTATTTGGTTCTCTATTTTTAAATGTTTCATGCTCAAACAACTTTGCAAGATTGCAGCTTCATCTTTCAAAGGGAAAAGACGCAGTAATGGCAAATTCCACCCAAAGCTATTGGGATTAAACTATATTAAACTGATATCAGGCATTGATATTATACTCCACCAAGATAAAATAACATTAAAGAAGAGAGAGAAAAAAATCTCAATCACTTTTTCAAAAAATTGCAGTTATCCCCATCTGGTAGGACTCCATACTTGCTTATTTTGTTTCTTCCCAAAACAAAACAAGACCATTGTCAATTAAAATCCTCTCCAATTTTCCTTGCACATTAACAACTTGCAACACCTCCTCTTTCCCTGTAGTGAGATTAATAACCTGCCTTTCTGACTCACACTTATGTCCTTCTCTCTCCTCTCCTTAACCTTTCCCATTCCGCTTCAACTCCCGGCCACACAGAAAATGAACAACCTTCTCTCGTCTGGTTTGACAGAGGAAAGTTTTATTTGACTTTTGAAGGTAAGTAGTGCATAGCATATTGGCTTGGACCTTTAAACATCCTTCTTCTTCTATTTTAATAGAAGCCCATTGGCTTCTCCTAAATAAAGAAACCTATTCTACTTTTCAGTATAGTTGATGCTATGGCTACTTAGTGGACATGATAGGTTCAATCAGAATCATTTTTAAATTGGGTTATTGCTACAATGTCCATTTGACTGTTATAATTATTTTCATATAAAGGTAAAAAGAGAGGCTATTTAGACAGTAAATATAAAAAACAACAACTTCAGTTACTGATCACCAAGGAACTTGACTCTGTCAACCAAGGCTTCTGGTATGCTTTGCAAGCAAGTTTGCATTTTAACGTCATTATACTACAGTATATATATATACAGCATATGAAGATAATGTTTGTGCTACTACTTGTAGAATTTGCCATCATACTGAAAATCTTCCAAAAAAAAATAAACTATTGTATCAATTCATTTATTAGTGTAATTAATTAATTATACTAATTAACTGCTTGAATTGTATGTCAGCGTTTTTAGAAAATAAAAGTGATTTTTTTTACTGTAAGCCAATGTTCAGTTTATAAAAATTATGAATTACCCATTTTTACTTTAGCATTATCCAGTGACATTCATCATGTATGGTCATCATGTAAACTATGTATGAGCTTTTTCCAGCTTTGCTATTAATGAGATTTACATCTTGCCTTATAATGAATGCTTCATTCCATGAACCTATTCCTTGTTGTAGCTGGAACAAGAATCATCTAATTTTAATCTATGGCATTTTGTATTTATATATTAATGGTTTCCATGGGATTTTATAATAGTTCTGCATACTTTTTCAATCTAAATAACAACAACAAAAAACCATCTCAAAGAAGTGTACACTGTAGGTTGGATCAAGAGTTCAATCATGATCCAGAATTTTGACCATGATATCAGTCCATCATCATCATCATCATCATCATCATCATCATCATCATCATCATCTTCATCATCATCATCATCATCATCATTATTTTGCATCTCCATAAAAGCTTATTTAGAAAATTGGAGTTTCTCATAGGGGGCCTGAAGGGAAACTAGTAAAATTATTTTTCCTTGACTACCTACAGAAGTTCTGTTGGAGCCAATTGCTTCCACGAATCTTTAGGATCAAGCCAATTAATTTTTGCACAGGAATGTCACTTTGTTGACAAGTCTTGTAATTGCTCTGTGCTTTTTTTTTCTTTTTCTTTTAAATTGAATTGATATATCTTGACCTGGAAGAAAAAACAACTCATGGCATAAGAGGAACGAAATGTAAGATCGAATAATTCCATATGTGTGCTATATCTAATTTGCCCATTTGTGATGTATTTATAAGAAAAACAATGCAGTTTGGTAGCTTTAGGAATAGACCGTTTCTTTTTCATCTATGTGCTAGATACAGCAAATGTGAAAGAGGGATTTTCCTTACTTAAAAAGTACCTGCCTAAACCTGTGCTAAGAAGTCAAGCTAATTTGTAGATAGTTATTTGTTATTTTGAAGTTTCTGTCTTTCAGGAAAACATTTCAGGGTTTTGGAGGCCTAGACCTAGTACAGCTTCTGATTACAAATGTCATATCCCTTCTGTGATCAGAGGTCGGCTTCAAAAATTTTAGCAACAGGTTCTCTGTCCACTTGCTGTGTGATGGTGGGTGTGGCCTAGTCAGCCATCTTCACCATGATGGGGGGGTGTTTTTGCTCTCCCCGGGCTCCAGAGGCTCTCTGGAAGCTGGAAACGGGCCCATTTTCAGCCTTCCCGAACTTTCAGGAGGTCCAGTTTCCTCCGTCCCCGAGCCTCCGTGCATGCCCTACACTTACCTGCATCCAAAACAGGCCGTGTGGGACTCCTGTGGGGGGGGTGAGTTGGGGTTGGCAGGAGTGGGATTTGGGGGCTCTCCAAACTGCACAGAATCTTAGCCAGAGGCTCTCCTGAACCCCTGCGAGCCCCCAGCAGCCCACCCCTGTTTATAGATCGGAAACTATTCAGAATGGAGTGATTGTTCTGATCTAGAAAACAGCTATGAAACAGGGATTTCAAGTGCACAATGCATGCATTTCTCTCAATTATTCAAACATTGAGTCAACCTGCACCCATATCCTTGCTTCCAATCATATTGTTCCCCACCTAATCTTAAATTGCTCTCATTCTTGTTGGCTTTAACAGATGTTCAAGGCTTCAGCCTTCAACCTAGGGGCAGAGGGAGATTGCTAGACGTTTTAGAATGTTCCAGTTGTTCTCGTTGCAGCAGATCTTAATATAACAATGTATTCCTATCCATGCTTAAGTGTGGCTGATATTGTGTTTCAACCTTTTGCAAATGAGAGTACTGTATTTCCCATGCTGTCTCATTTACCTTCCATTGCATTTAACAAAGCAAGCTAGTGGCAGTTGCAGGTGATCTCAGATTCTCATAAAACATTTTTTTTTTTTACTATTGGGCCTGGGGCTAGGAATTTGCAATGAATATATTATTTAAATATTTACAATATCTACTTCATTCTTCCTGTGCTTTCTGAGATTCCTATTGTATTTTCAAAACAATAGCACCACATAAAACATAATTTTCAGGGTAAGATTTTCATTACTTTTCCTTTATAACCCTTTTCACAGAAGGTGTGCTGAGGATGTGTTGCTGAATTTTTGATTCTACCAATTTACTAAATAATAATAGAGTGATTTAGTGGTGCAAATGCAGTAAAAGGCAATACAACAGATACAGGACAGTGTCTTTGACATCTGAAAATATCTGAGACTCTTTTGTATAATGATATTGCTGTTAATTTCCTTGGGTGTTATGGAAAAGTAAACAATTTTAAAACCATGCATAAATTTAGGTTTTGTTTGATAGATTATGTGCTATCTAGTTGGTGTTGACTTTCAATGATTTTCCCTAACCTGTTCCATCAGGTCACCCAATGATCATTTATCACCGCTGCCACTGAATCAATCCACCATAGTGTTGATCCTTCTCCTCTTCTCTTTCCTTCCACTTTTCTCAGCATTAGAGCTTTCTCTAGCTGCCAAGTTTTCTCACAATGTGTCCAAAGTAGGATAAGAGAGAACTCTGGGTGGATTTGCTTGAGGATCCATTTGTTTGTTATCTTCGTATTCTCAGGAGTCCTCTTCAACATCAAAGTTCAAAACTGTCAGTGTTTCTTGAACCTTTTCATTTTATTCTTGATGGTTGATCCTAAAAGGCAGAAGCTATCTACCATTTCAGTACCTTCATTGTCCATTCTAAGGCTGTTGCCATACCTTTTGTAATTACTTTAGTTTTCTTTAATGTTTATCCCATTTGTTCACTTTGCTTCCTAAGTTTTATTACTAGAGCTTGCAAATTCTTTGCAATTTTGGCTATCAGAGTAGTGTCTTCCTTTAATGTGTATGTGTATGTATGAGTGTGTACATACATAGAATAGAATAGAATAGAATAGAATAGAATAGAATAGAATAGAAT